CTTATTTTGATTATGGGTCTGTAATCCAGTTAAGCTTTTATTCTTAATTTATATTACAATGCTGGTAAAATACACTTCTTGATGAGTATGGAGTACAAATGAACTCATTGTGTACCCAAGTTCAAGTTCAAGTATGTTTATTGAGATAAGCAATAAATAAATCTCAAAGGGATAGAGTAGCTTAGGCTATTTCAACCCCCCTCTAATTCAAGTCCCTCAAGGGGCGCACAAATACTGTGACTACAAATAGACAAATAACATTACAAGAATCCAAACAAGAATTGTGAACCCTATACTCACAGGATGAATATAGGGTACACAATAAACTACCACTCACATCATGGGTATGGGTTGCACAAGAAACTATCGCGCAGAGGATGAATATGGAGAGCAAAGTAAACAAAGATTCACACGATGAGAAAGGGTTTCGCAATGTCCTATGACTCACAGAATGAGTATTAGCTGCACAATAAACTACAGGTCACAGGATAAGTATGGGTTGCACAATAAATTACAGGTCACAGGATGGGTATGGGCTGCACAAACTACCGGTAACAGGATGAGTATGGGATGCACAATAAATTACGGGTCACAGGATGAGTATGGGTTGCACAAACTACTGGTAACAAGATGAGTATGGGATGCACAATAAATTACCGCACAGAGGATGAGTATAGGGTGCACAAACTGGTTGGGTAAATGGAAATGGTTGGGTACATTTCCTTTCACCTAATGCGACTATTCATGTGTCCGGACACCGGCGATTGTGTGGTATTGGCTATTTATTTAACCATAACTTTGCATTCATTTAATAATTATATTAAGATATGTTTTCCTTGAAATGTAGTTACATTATCGTCTACATGGCTTTATTCTGACATAAAGACCTATGGCGTTACTTTGCATATATGCAAAGTAATTATAAAATTGATTGGCTTGTGTGGAGGCCTTCACACTCCCTGAGCGAGCCATCAAGTAACTATAAAAAGGCATATATCTTAACTTTCAATTCAGTTATATTTATGCCAAAGTATTAACATGCAGCTTATATTTATGTCTTTATGATGACATAGAAAACTTCGTTTATTACAATATCTAGATTAAATTAACATTGATCTTCGGAAGGTCATAGTTCCCATATCGGTAAGGAGAGCGTCGGCCATGAAGCCTTGTTTAAAGTATGAATATTTTTCCTCTCTAATAAGGTATAATCTCTGTGATGGATTCACAAAAACTATTTTATATCTGCCTTTCTGATAACATATACAAATATAATCTTTATTTGTGAATATTTGTTAATTAAGCAATATATCAGAGGGCGTGTAGGGTTCGGTGTTCAATGAACGAAAAGGACTGGATCACTGTGTACAGGAGGCTGATATGGCAGCAAACACTCTCCTGGCGACCATATTTCTTGGATAAGTCGCTCCACACAATTGTCGCTTGGACCGTCGACTTCCTATGGCGTCACCTCTCACATATTTACGTCTCATTTCGTTATGAAATTATATTATTTCAGAGAAAAAATAGGTTTGATCATGTTCTACGTGTAGCACCAACATTATAGTAAGTAAATATACCATATTTCTTCATTACTTACGTAATGCTAATACGTTTTGGGTAGTTTTGGCCTGATTTGGGATGATTGGGGTAATTCTATGGGCCCCAAAGACCGGACTCTCTTTTCTAGACTACTTTTCCCTGGTCGGATTTGGCTTAACGGCTTTCTCCATAAACTAGAGGTGTACATACCACGTCCCATTCAGTGCTTTAGATGTAAAGGTTTCAACCATACCTCGAAAGGCACAAAAGACATTAAATGTGGAAAATGCTCTGGTTCCCATTACACACATTTCTTCCACCCGTTTTATCCCAAATCCTTATCCTGACCCCTTCCAAGTGCTATATGGTCGTAATGGCTTGGCGCTTTCCCACTGATAGTTCCCTTCCCATTACACACAGGACTGTGCGTCAGATATACTTACCTGCTCAAACTGTGGTGGCGATCATGGCATTACATTCAGACTGTCCTTCATACATAGTGGCAAAAACTAAGGTTCTCCCTACCACCAACCTGCAATACAGTAGTGCATTGAAACAACCTTTAACTCGTCAACCGCTACCTCACACTCAACCATCTCCCCCTTCCCTATAACGATCCCTTCTCTCTCTCTGAACTTCAGTCTACCTTGGCCCTCTGTGGTTTTACGGCAGCGGGCTCGGATGACATTCATTATGAGATGCTTCGCCATCTTCCTCCTTGCACGTCTCTGTATTTACCGAGTCTGTATAACCAGGTCTGGGAGTCGTCAGTCCCTGAGGACTGGCTCGATGCCGTTGTACTTCCTATTCAGAAACCAGGGTCTCTCGGGACATCCCCTAAGGACTTCCGCCCTATTGCCCTCACGAGTTATGTCAAACTCTCTGAGCGTATGGTAAATGTTCGTCTGATGTGGTTCTTGGAACACCATCAATTTGGTTTTCGCAAGTGCCGCAGCACAACTGAATGTCCTGGTGAACTTGGAAGTCTATATTCGTACTGCTTTTGCTGCGAAGACCTCCGTCGTTGTTGTCCTTTTTGACCTGGAAAAGGCTTATGGCACGACCTGGAGATACCATATTCTGTCCCAACTTCGTTCATTTGGCCTTCGTGGTAATCTCCCACTCTTCCTCCAAAGCTTCCTCTCGTCGTTCCTTTCGAGTGCCGTGTCGTCTTGGGCCACCAATCATGGCTTCAAGTTCTCTGCAACTAAGACTTGTGCTATGACTTTTACTCGAAAGCATGTCGTCCTTCGTCCTTCTTTGTCACTTTATGGTCATCCTCTTGTGTACAAAGATTCCGCTAAGCTTTTGGGGTTAATCTTAGACACTCGTTTGTCTTGGTCGCCCCATATCTCTTACCTCCGAGTTGAATGCTCTAAGGCTCTTAACCTACTTAAGGTTTTGTCCCATACTTCTTGGGGAGCGGATAGGCGCACGCTCCTCTATTTGCACTCTTCTCTCGTCCTATCTAAACTCGATTATGGTTGCCTTTCATGTTCTTCCACTTCTCCTACTCTTCGTCGTTTTGATTCTTTGCACCATACTGGGTTGTGGCTCAGCTCCGGTGCCTTTCGTTCAACTCCTATCCTCATCTTGTATGCTGACACTGGCTTCCTATCTCTCCAGGATCGCCGTGATTGCTACTGTCTTCGCTATCTTGCACGGTCCTTACAAGAACCTCTCTCTCGTCTCTGTCGTACTTTGACTTTTACCCCTCCTGTAGTGCCTGTTCCTCTTTACCACCTTCCTCTGTCCGTCCGTTTGTCTCGCTTACAAGATTCTTTTTCGGTTCGTATTACCAATGTTTTTCCTTGTATTGTTTTGTCCTTGCCCCTGTGGAGGGTCCCCCTTCTCAAATTTTGTACATCTCTGACCCGCATCACTAAAGCTTTTACCCCTCCTACAGTTCTGAAACGTCTTTTCCAACCGGTGGTCATCGAGATCCAACATTGGCTGTTTCTTATCTCCAGTAAATTTAAGTCGGTAGAGTTTTGCTGGGTTCCCAGCCATGTGTCTCTTTAAATGAGCATGCAGATGCTGCCGCTAAGGAAGCTATCCACACTTGTCCTATCTCCCGTAAAGGTATTCCTTATTCCGACTTTTACCCAGTTATTCATTCCTCCATTCTTGCCTGTTGGCAGGGTTCTTGGTCTTCTGTTACTGGTAACAAACTGCGCACTCTTAAGCTTAGTGTGTCACCGTGGCCTTCCTCCTACCACCATAACTGGCGGTGGGAAACAGCTCTGGCAAGGTTGCGTATTGGCCATACTCGCTTAACTCACAGTCACTTAATGGAGCGCTGCCCTGCTCCGTATTGTCCAAATTGCATTGTCCCGAAGGCCACTTAACCTCCTTAAGCTTTTGTCCCATACTTCTTGGGGAGCGGATAGGCGCACACTTCTCTTTACATTCCTCTCTCGTACGGTTTAAACTCGATTATGGTTGCCCTGCTTACCCGTCGTCTGCTCCTTCTATTCTTAGCTGTCTTGATGCTTTGCACCATACTTGGTTGCGCCTCAGCTCTGGTGCCTTTCGTTCCACTCCTACCGTCAGCTTGTATGTTGACACTACCTTCCTGTCTCTCCAGAACCACTGTGATCGCTACTGTCTTCGCTACCTTGCGCGGTCCTTACAACACCCTCGCTCTCACCTATGTCGTGCTTTGACTTTTAACCCTCCTGTAGTTCCTGTTCCCCTTCATAAGACAACCCTGTCCACTTCAGCTGTCCTCTGACAGCTGAGTGGTGAAATATGGGGTGGAGGGCAGTGTTGTGACACATGGGGTGCCACCAACAATGGCTCACCGAGTTTTTGACAGACTCAAGTGTAAAGATTATCTTACTGTACATAAGCTTGGTTATATGCCAAACACAGGAACACATGAAAAGCACACACAATGTAACGAATAGAAGAGAAAATCCATCTGCACCTGGTGCATTAAGTGCAAAGTTCCCTTGTGTGCTGTTGACTGCCTCAGTGACTATCATACACTCATGCAGTACTAAGTGTGTTTATAGTGTTGCATATTATCTGTGATAGTGTACAGTGTATAAATAAATCGAACATGGAATATTGAAAATATGAACAATGTTTGTGGACACATTTTTAATACAGTACCTGTACATGTAACAGTTCCTTTGAACAGTACGGATGTTCATCTGGATTCTACTGCATCTACTGTAAACATGTGCAATATACATAGGATAAGCCAGATGAAACAAAAGAAATGCATTTGTAATTGTGCAGAAAAAATGAACATAAAAATATTTGTAGAAACTAGCACTTGCTGAATCTGATGCGCGACCGTGATGCCACACACCCCATTTTCTGGGCCAGATTCACGCAACAGTTACGCAAGCACTTACGAACGTGTACATCTTTCCTCAATATTTGACGGCTTTGGTTACATTTATTAAACAGTTTACAAAGATGAAAACTTCCCAATCAATTGTTGTTATTGTTATAAACAGCCTCCTGGTGCTTCGGAGCTTATTAACTGTTTTAATTGTAAAAAAAATAACGCCAAAGATTGAGAAAAGATGTACAGGTTCGTAAGTGCTTGCATAACTGCTTCATGAATCTGGGCCCTGGACACCATTGTTGCCAAAGTAAGTACATTTGTACAATATTTTCAACATACTGTATATGTGGCCAGGGGAGGGTATTTAACAATTTTGGAATGAAAAAAAATTTAGCAAGGAATTTATTTTTGGCCCACCAAGGGTTTGTCATATTTTAAAGCTGCACAGCGCAGTGGTTGATCAGACTGCGCCAGCTGCAGTGAGCCCCACCAGCCGATAAACCCCTGCCCTACCCGAGGCAAAGCAGAAAGCCAAAGACCCCCGCTTGACCCCAAGGGCTTGAACAACCAAAGGCGAGGTTGTGGTTGCTTCCTGCGTCTCTCTGTGGAGGCCAGGTTCTGGCGCTGGTCCCTGGTAGGCAACAAGAAATCTGTGACTGATGACCCCAAATAGGATAGCTTCAGGGAGCCAGCAGGGCTTTCCACAGAATAAAATGATTTCCTTCAAGCTACACGGTTTAAAAACCCCCTTTCAAAAGTCACACTTGCATTTTCCATCTTAAAGTGTTTCTGGCAATGTCTCCTAATAACTCATTACTATAATTGTTCACAAAATATATATCTGCATCTAATATATCTGTTCACTCAAGCTCTACTAAGACCTGTTCTTCTTCCACTGTTTCTCCCTCCTTCACATAGACTGCTTTCACCTTTCCACTTGCTGCTATGGTAAGAGAATTCTGCATCTTCATAGCCTCTGTTGGAGAAAAGGAAGATATTGATTTTTTTATAACACTTGGCTTAGTGCCTTCAGATAATTACTTACTTTCATAAAGCACACACATAGTAAGCACTATACATATTTGTATATGAAAAGAAATGGAAATCTTTAACCACAAATAATACCTTGATACAACAGATGGGATATTAAAGACCTGCATAAGAAAGCTCTTGTTTTATTCCATTTGCATTAATGCAAAGCACTAAAATTCCCAAACAGTGAGATTAACAAAATAGAAGATCAATAAATGGCAATTATATTTTCTATACACAGCGTAACTAGATATGCTTGGTTCACAGATGATCGAGGGACATATCCCCCAACCCCTATTTAAAGGAGGTACACCCAGTACCTACCAATGGTATATTTCCATGCAGTTCCTCTCAAGGAAGATATCCCCATTTCCAATTGAGGGAGGGAGGTAATTATCAAAAATGGTGCCAAGCCAAGAAGACTATGTAGCACCATCTGTATCATAAGATATTCAAAATGTGCTAAATATCACTCAAGATGTCAATACGAGAACAAAAGAACATAATGTAAATGATATCAAAGATATCAAATTTAGCAGGGATTCTAACAAGAGACAGGCGACATCAAGGGGCATTAGAAAAGCAAGACACTTGAACATTCTGAAAATTGGGGCAATTAACAATGAAGGTGCACAACTGTAAGTGGGACAATGCAGTTTGGACAAAATAGAACAGGATGTTGTTCCATTAACACTTTGGCTTCATGATAACATTATTGCAGTGCTTAAATCAATACATGCAGAGGACGTTAACGCTGTCCATAATTCAAATATTTGTAAAAATTCCATTATTGTCAGTTTATTAGCAGACTCGTTTTAGAATGCACGCTATTCTATTGCCAACAATTTGATATTAAAATTAACAATGTAGCACGAATAATAAGGTCAGAAAACTGGAAAGAGTATAAGCATTGAAGTGTGACAGAGTGCTCATGGGCGACTTGGACCTTTGTTTGGCGGCGAGTGCGCGTGCCAAGGCAACTTTGAGGTGGCATGCCGAGCCAGAACTGGTGCAGTTAAAGTGTTAAGTGACCATGAGTCAGGCGCACATGGCCAATACGCAAACTAGCCAAAGCTGTTTCCTATCACCTATTAAGGTGGCAGGAGGAAGGCTTAGGGGAAATATCACATTTAAAAGCACACAGTTTATTACCTGGAATATCAGCCCAACGATCCTGCCAACAATTACGGATTACAGCATGAATAATCAGGTAGAAATCCAAATAGGGAATCCCTTTCCAGGAAATGCGCTAAACATAAATGGCCTCCTTAGAGGTGGCGTCTGCCACTGCTAAGGAGGAATTCAAAGGACTCGTTCATTCAAGGAAACTCCGATATAGCTAGAAACCCAGCAAAATTTATCCATCTTATTTGCCATAGATAAGAAACAGCTAGTACTATATTTCAACTACCACAAGATGTAGGTTAAAAGACTCCAGAGCGATGAGGAATGTTGATGTAGAGAAAGAAACTAATGAAGATCAGAGAAAATTGCATAAGGTTCTGCTATGAAGATACTGGTCTCCTGGGATAGGCAGGAAATATACATTCAGTCAGAAAAAAACAATGGAGTAGCCAACACCACTGGCAGACTTAGATACATTAGTGAACAGAGCAGTGAAGTCAGAGTGAGAGGAGAAGTGCTCAAGGAAAAGGCTTTTCAATACAGTAGGGGAGAGCATAAGCCTTCACCAAATGGTTCAGGGTCCTGCAAAATTTTCCATGGGACCCTCCATAGGAGCAAAATAAGACCAACACAATGTGAATGGAGAGAAAATCTTGTAATGAAGCCACCCTAGCAGGAAAAGGAGGGAAAAACAAAAAAAATTTGAAGTTCCCCATAGTGACCTCTCCTTAAACCGAGTTTATCAACTTTTTCAATGTCCCCATTTTTTTCTAGCTGATATCTTAAAGCACATGTCTAACAGGATGTGATCATTCTTTCCCAAGGAAGGAAGGTACTGGATGTCAAATATCTCTTCTTCTTTCCTGGTGAATACTAGATCTACTACTGACAGTACATCTCCTTCCCTGAGGCGCATTGCACACCACCCGCCGAGAGCCTCAAGGTGCGTTGCTCAGTGCAGTGGTTAATAAGTGTAAACAGTGTCAGTGAAAGAGTTTAACATTGGGTTGTGTGCTCACCGGCAATGCCCCGCCTACCTTATGGTGCAATGCAGGTAGCTTGCTGGGCCAGGGGAAAGTGTTAAAAAGCAGTACCTTCATATTTATATGTAAAGTCTGTATATTTCCTTGGCTATTAAATAAGTAAAGCAGTCGGCTAATAGAAATAAAGTGAAAAATAAATTGATGCTCACCAATGACACAAACTTCCTGACCTTCAGCCACCATATTTCCTGGAGCACAAGCAATTGATTTTACCAGTCCTGGCATTGGTGACAGAACTTGTTTGCTCTGGTCAATCTATAATAGAGAGATATCAACATTAGTAACAAATCTATAAAAAATGTAAAGGTTAAAATGTGAATACTTTACAAACGATTATTCCTGGTTTGAGAAGAGAACAAGATAGAATTTCAGAATACTGTACTATAATATAACCTTTGGTGTTGTAGCAAGCACAGTTGGGTCACAGCCTAAATCTCCCATATTCAATTCCCACATTGGAATAGAAGCATTTAGGTTCCCTTTCACCTTATGTAGTAGATAGGCATCCAGGAGTTAGACATCTGTTATGGGTTGCATCCCAGGAAACATCAACAGTTGACCTAGGGTAACCTTGATAAAAACAACAGGCTTCTTATTCCCAATAATAGAGCTATAGTGTAAACCATACTAATTAAATAACCAGCCTAGTGTAATGAAATGCTACTTTCAGGTGGGTCCTCAGTGGCTCCCTTTTGCTTACTGCCTTCTTAGCTCCACCCAATTTGAATCACATAAGGCCCTTAAAGATCACTTTAAGTGAGGAAAATGCCATCAGAAAGGTAGAATCAGTGAAATATAATTCTACTGTTACATCATTTGACATATAAAGGAGAAACCAATACAGACATCTATATGGTAATCAAAACAACTCAGAAAATGAGCAAGCCAGTAGTTAAGCCATACTTCCTGTAGCAGCAGCTGACAGCTACTAGGAGCCAGTGCTGTTAGCTTCAGGCTTGAACAATCACCCCGAACCCACAGCCAGTCTTGAGTCAATGAAAAAACAAAACAAAATTGAAGGGGAAAGAACAGACACAATGGAAAGGAAAAGGGAGGGTCCAGGGAGCCACTGAGGACCCACTAGAAAAAGGCCTTTCATTACATTCAATGCTGTCTCAACAAACAACAAAAACACAAGGGAAACAAAACAGGTGTGGAAACATCAGAGTCAATTCCTGTCACTATTTTTGTAAGTGATGATCATATTACCTCTTTCTTCTTCTTCTTTTATCTTCCAGGAATCATTTAGTGCCTCTAGCCTCTATTTATATATTTTTTTGTTTTTTTTAGTTCAAGAAGAAATTTAGTAACATGTCTCTGCACCATTTCTAGTTTATTGATGTGCCTCTTGATATATGGATACCACAAAATGGTTGCATATTCCAATTTTGGTTTCCGTAATGTCATGAACTGTTTCATTAACAATTTACCAGTCATATATATATATAAAACACAATTCTGAAATTTGCTTGCATACTCTTGGGCTAATCTCACAGTATCTTTGCGATCCTCTTTGTGACAGACACCAGCTTCTCAAGAATGGACACCCAAACCCACCAGGGAAAGCAACTCTGTCAGTGCAACACCTGTAAGCACCTAGGAAATTTTAACCTTAGACACATGAAGATCAAGGCTAAATATTTTTATGAAATAAATGTTCAAAGCCTCTAAAAAGATTTGCAAATTGAAAATTAGCATAGTAGAGTATAGCACAAAAAACTAGCATTGAATGTAATGAAACGCCATTTTCTGGATGAGTCCCGGAGGCTCCCCGGAGCTATCCAGACTGATATGCTAATGTCAGACTTTGGCATCAGTCATGTGTATGGAATTCTGTGGGCCTACCAGGGACCATGAGCCAGAACCTGGTCCCCTCACAGAGGCACGAGGAGCAATGGCCTATAGAAACCCCCATGTGGTTGGAAGTATTCTATGTCTGCCATCGAGCGGGTCAGGCACCCAGAAAGGTAGGCATTCCAAAACAAATCCCTATTCTGATGAAAATTGCTACAAAAACTGAACAAATAGATAGAATTTCCCAAACAGAAATGAGCAACAAGCATGATGCTTCCTGTTTTATCATCCGATGTTTAACATCGTTTTATCACTTGTTTTTCCTTATTTACATTCACAATCGGCTTATGTCCATATTTTCATCATACATGTAAAACCCAGACAATAATTGTTTAAATCATCATATGATGATGACTGCACTCCTCTAGTAACATTAATGACGATAACTGCATTTGTACCATGAAATGATAGCAGGATTTTGTTCTTGGATCAAGTTAAACTATTACATCTACATAGACCTATTACATCCACATTTGCATCATACATGTAAAACCCAGAAAATAATTCTGTAAATCTTCATATGATAACTGCATTACCTTGTAAATCAATAATTGATGATAACCACTGTCTAAGGGTTAACTTCTTAAACATTAAGCAAACTTTGTTAAACAGTACAGTGGTACCTTGGAATACGAGTGTCCCTGTATACGAGTTTTTCGGAATACGAGCAGGATTTCCTCGGAAAATGTGTCTCGGAAGGCGAGGGTTACCATAGAAGGCGAGTTTATTGATTACGCGTACAGGCCGACCTAGCGCGTGGTGGTACGGCGATCGTCGCCTCTCACCCCTCAGTTTACCTGTGCCTCGCACCCAGTGACTATCCCACGTAAATTCTTCACCCGGATTTCCAGTGTTTTGTTAGATTTTTGGTCATTTGACCTTAAAAGTTATTATATATCTCGCCATGGGTCCCAAGAAAGCCAGTGGTAAGGTTTAACCTAAGAAAATAGTGCTGCGTTTCGGGCGATCGAGTGGCAACACTGAAAAGTGTATACTCTTTTCACTGTCCTGACATTAATTTTCGATTTACGTATTTTACTTTTGTACCAGTGTGTTCGCAATAGAATGTTCTATAAGAACATTAGTATAAAATGTCACACAAGGATGCGTTAGACCGGCACCAAATAAAAAACTACGTCGATTACACTTGTCGTGTCAACAATACAATGGTCTTACCTCGATGGTACAATGATACGCCGTTCTCCCAAATAGGCTATGCGGCTATTAGAGAAAACGGAAATTTCATGGCGGACATTTTCAAACTATCCCAAAGTCGATCTCATAACATATAGAGTTTATAGAAATATTTTTTCTCGTAACTCGTGAGTGAGTCCGCTGTGCGACCTCAACACAAAAAGTGGTAATGCTCTTGAGCGCCAAGAAAATGTGTGAAGTATGGGAAGAATTGCAAAGTTTTGTTGAAAAAACTCGCCCAGATAAAGCTGTAGCAGGCCGTTGCATTGACCTTTTAAATGATAATGTGGTGTCTTACTACAGACAAGTGTTAAAATGTAGGGAAAAACAAGTGTCTTTAGACAGATTCTTAGTAAAACAAGCAAGTCCTAGTGGTATGCAGGCAAAATGTGCCAGAGTGTGCATACCAGTGAAGTCCTCACTGCCTGATGTGATAATGGAAGGGAACTTCCCTTCCAAACAGTAACACCTCTTCTCCTCCCTCCTCCTCACCATCTTCCATACGCCAACAGCAAGGTAAGTAATAACTTGAACATAGTTTTGTAGGTTTATTTCGATGAATTAGGTATAAAATTTAGTTTGAAGTGGGGTTTTTGGGGTAGTCAGGAACGGATTAATTCATTTCCCATTATTTCTTATGGGGAAATTAGCTTCGGAATACGAGTTTTCGGAACACGAGCTGTCTCCAGGAACGGATTAAACTCTTAAACCGAGGTACCACTGTACTGTATATCTATTATATGTACATATTTGCTATCATGTTTCAAATTGATCAAAATTACTTGTAACATTTTCTTCAAAACCTTACCATGAAGATTTATTTAATTCTGACAATTGATATCTTCAATTGTCAGACAATTGATATGTCCACTTTTTTTATTATCTTACTTCTTCAAAACATTCACCTAATTCTATTGTAAGAAAACAAGTCACCTACCTTAGGCTTCCTACACACAACATTCACCTTATTCTAGTGAAAGTGCAAAAGTCACCTACCTTAGGTTTCTCAGGTATGAGAGACATGTACTGGTGTACATCCTTAGACAGAACCTGGCTCTGGAATGCTGTTCCTCTGTACCTGTACATCAGAAATGCAGATATAAGAAACTCAGCTTTGAAAGTAATGAAATGCCTCTTTCTGGAGGAGCCCCAGTGGGTCCCTGAAACTATCTTGCTGAGATTGCTCCAAGCTAAAAGTCACATCTGTCACGAAGGTTCTGTTTGGCCTACTGGGGACAAGAACAAGAATTTCACCTTCCTCACAGAGGCACTGGGAGTTAGTGACAATTTGCCACCCACTGGAAAAAGCCTCCAGGAAGTCAGCAAAGCTTTCAGACAACTAGACGTTTCACAGAAAATAAAGGCACAAAACTGCCAAACAATTTCGTAAATGAGTCACAGAACAAGGGATTCACTCAAACTAGCATTAAACTCATTGGTACTGAATTTTGAGCAGGCATTAGAATGAAGAGGGAAATCCAGGCTGGGAGACACAGCCCAAAGCAATAAACAACTGACTGGAACCAGGAACATTGATTAAATATCAGACCGCCAGTACCCTGTTAGACTGCCAAACCCTCTTAATTTTATTATCTTGGCATTATACGATTCTTGGTTCACTCTTCCCAATCAATATGTCTTCGAAAAACCAGCATTGAATGTAATGAAACGCCATTTTCTGGGTAAGTCCCGGAGGCTCCCCCAGAGCTTACTGGGCTGATATGTATATTAGATTGTGGCAAAAGTCAATTCGATTGAAGTTCTAGCCTATTGGGGACCACGAGCCAGAACCTGGCCCCCCTCAGAGTGGCAAGAGAAGCAATAGCATATAGACACCCCCGTGTGGTTGGAAGCAGTCTATGTCTGCCATCTACCAGGTCAGGCACCCAGAAAGGTAGGAATTCTAAAACAAACTACTCCTGGCAAAAATTGCACACCGAAAGCTGAACTAACAAGCAGAACTTCCCAATCAGAAAACAAGCAAACAAGCATGATGTCATCACAGCCGCAACGCCGCTGTCTGCACAACTTACCCCTCCCCAGGAGGGGAAAGAGGGAGCCCCAGACCCCTCGCACCGGCTATTCAACCTCAGTTCAGAGGCTGAATATAAAAAATGTGAAAAACCGCTGACCAGAGGGAGGGAGAGTCTCAGGGAGGGCATCCGAGTCTCATTTAGAAAATGGTGTTTCATTATATTCAACACTGGTTTTCTGTGGAGAGCCCCTTCGGCTTCCCGGAGCTAAATCACCAAAGATAAAGGAAAGAGGGATTCACCCGAGAGGCGGCCGTTTGCTCCTCGATGTGAAGTCGAGACACCTGCGACCCAAGGCAACACACACCCTTGAGAAGGGCCAGGAACGGTAACGAGGTAGCATGTGGCAGAACCCTGAGGGAGCATGCACGTGTCGTGAAACCCAGCATGAGGGAGCCGGTCGGCCGAGCGGACAGCACGCTGGACTTGTGATCCTGTGGTCCTGGGTTCGATCCCAGGCGCCGGCGAGAAACAATGGGCAGAGTTTCTTTCACCCTATGCCCCCTGTTACCTAGCAGTAAAATAGGTACCTGGGTGTTAGTCAGCTGTCACGGGCTGCTTCCTGGGGGTGGAGGCCTGGTCGAGGATTGGGCCGCGGGGACACTATAAAAAAGTCCCGAAATCATCTCAAGATAACCTCAAGATAACCCTTTTCGACCTCCGAAAGTCCCGTGCCCGAGTGTCAGCCAGAGACATGTTACCAAAAACAGCAGTCAAAGCCGCGAATATCGTGGGCACGGTGATAGACAGCAGGTTGGCTGGACTGAATAACTCTGAAGACAACCTGGGAGACCCGTGCCCTGGAAGAGGGAATAAGTGAAATTGGGTCAACCCAAAGCACGTCCGGTCGGCCGAGCGGACAGCACGCTGGACTTGTGATCCTGTGATCCCGGGTTCAATCCCAGGTGCCGGCGAGAAACAATGGGCAGAGTTTCTTTCACCCTATGCCCCTGTTACCTAGCAGCAAAATAGGTACCTGGGTGTTAGTCAGCTGTCACGGGCTGCTTCCTGGGGGTGGAGGCCTGGTCGAGGACCGGGCCGCAGGGACACTAAGGCCCCGAAATCATCTCAAGATAACCTCAAGTCCCCGGCCACCAAGGCCATGGCGCGCAAGTAACGGCGATGAGCTGCAACCCGGACACAACACGTGATGCACCCTCAGCCGAACAAACCAATCAACAACAACCCAAGGACCCCTCTGGAAAGCAGCAGTCTCATTCTTCGCCAGAAAAGAAGGAGGCAGCTGCCTGGTTTACCTGGTTGATACCTGGTTGATGGGGTTCTGGGAGTTCTACTCCCCAAGCCCGGCCCGAGGCCAGGCTCGACTTGTGAGAGTTTGGTCCACCAGGCTGTTGCTTGGAGCGGCCCGCAGGGCCACGTACCCACCACAGCCCGGCTGATCCGGAACTTCTCTTAGAAAACCGTCCAGTTTTCTCTTGAAGATGTCCACGGTTGTTCCAAACGAACAAATCGACCACCAGGATCAAAAGTGCAGAAACCCCCTGCGCCGGAGGAGAGCACGAAGCTCCCCGACCCATGGGTAGGTGCCATGGCACTGAACCCTGAAAAATCTGAAGAGGAAGCTTGTTGCCATGGTCTAATGTATACATATCAGGCCAGTAAGCTCCAGGAAGCCGAAGGGGCTCTAGACAGAAAATGCTTCCTTCAATACATTAAAGATTGTTATATTTAACAATTTTATTTTTTGCAGAGATCATATCAAGAACATTTAAATTTGAAATTGGTTGAGTTAAATGTTTCCACAAAGGCTGGAAATCATCCTTGCACAAATACCGAGAATTGTGAATTTGTAAATAAAAAAAATTTACTTAAATTACCTAATCCTGATTTCCCCTGCTGATCCCAGTTTAATGAGCTGCACAGTTTCCTGAGTTCCATCAATATTTGCTTCAATAAGTGGAGATGCCAAATTAAATCTGCCATTTACTGTTACAGTCACTCCGTTCACAGCTACCTGGAAAGATTACATGCAGTATTTTAATCATTTATTACACTCAAAGCAGAAAACATGCTACTTCCATACTAAACTAATTGATAAATAATTTCTTCTATCATAATAAATGATGCACTTCACTAACAGAACCTTCTTCCATAAAAAAATAAAGACAACCAGAAGCTTTCTGAATCTAATTTGTCTTGAAGATGGCAGTTTCTTATTTCAGCGGCTCTTCAGTGGCTCTCTAGAGCTAGCACTGGTACCCAAGAGCCAAATCCAATACACCAGGCATCCTCTGATCCTATCATGACCTACTGGGAGCAGGTATCAGAATCTTGCCTCCTCAATGAGGTAAAGGACACTGAGGAATCACATAAGGCTCCTCAGTTTCTCCAGCCAAAGCAGGTGGGAAGGAGATGGGCAAACCATGCCCACTGGGGAAGGAAGATGGGGTGTGGACGGAACCATAGTTGAAGTGACAACACCCCCAAATCCAAGTCCCTAAAACCCAAGTGGGACAGATCCAGGCAACCAACTGGGCACACAACCTGGCCTGCTGCAAAACAGTAAACCTGTGATGCAAAGTGACCGCTGCTTAATACCTCAGAACGTCCATCGAGAAATGAGTGAGATGGTTCAAGTTCAAGCAAGTTTATTGAAGTAATGAAATACAGTACATTTCAAAAGGATAGAGTAGCATATGCTATTTCTACCCTCGGAGTGAGATGGAGCCCATTGGGGAACCAGTCCCAAATGACTCGGGGTCACAGGTGTCACCAACCCAACAAACAGCATGGCAGAGATAGAATGCATAAACGTCACCCAGTGGCACAGGCAACAAACAACCCACAAATTCGCACAAAACAAGAGCGGGATCAGAAGAGGTATCTATAGCACAACCAAGTCCGTGAGGGTTTTCCAGGGCTTGCAGGGTGAATGAGCCCTGCAGGCAGCCCAAGCACTGGAGTCAGCTATGCTACACCGGTAAACCCTGTCGATGCAGGCAACTAGACCACCTGAAGCCAAAGGAAAAGCCTTGTGGGTAGCAATGGGGTTCCATCGCGCACACCCTAGACATGCCTAATTAGGCAAAAGGCTGAACCTCCAAGCAAAATGGCAAGTAAAAACAACACAAGCAAAACTGAAAATGAAAATCCCCAAGACTAAACTGCTGCAAACCAGCAGCCAGGGACAAACATCAGAGTGCGTAAGTACTACCTGAAGAGCAGGCAGCACCGATCACAATGCATCCCCCCCCCAGCAAAAAAAAAAAAAAAAATCCCAAACCCAAGGCAAGATGGAAAGCCTAAGACCCCCCAGCTTAACCCCTGGGGTGAGGACCATCCTAAGTGAGGAAGCCCTCTGACAGATTGACAGATTGTCTCCCAAATGCCTCAGGAAAGGCAACCCTGACTGTGCAAGGGTAGTACTTACAGAGTTCTTAGGGAAGACAACTCTGAGCACATGCAGCTTCAGTACACTCAACTCCTGGCTTACATGCACACTCATGAAGGAACAGCCTAAAAGGCAAAAACACCACTCAAAATGGGAGATTGAAGCCAGAGCGACATTTGACTACCAGGCACGGACATCAATAAAGAACTGAGGGGCATCGGCCTGGCTGACCCGGACCGGCTCCCTCCTCTCCCCATCGAAGAGGGAGGTGGAGCTAACTAGCAGGGGGCTGGCTTGATAGGTCTTAGATATTTGCTTTATTGTTGGGACAGATCTTTTGCATTTTGAGGGCTGTGGTCTAGTCTTTAAACCAAGTAGTACAGTAGTTTGTTTTGATTTGCCTTTCTGGGTGCTTCCCTGAATGATGGCAAAGATAATAAACTTTAAATGTAAAGTGCTCATGGGTCATCGCTCCCTGTGCCTCTCTGAGGGGACCACGTTCTACCTCACGGTCTCTGGTAGGCAAAAAGAACTTCACGACTTATGACTCCTAAGTAGTATGACAATCAGTGGTGACAGCTTCAGGGATCTGATGGGGCTCCCCACAGAAAATGACATGAAGCTGCGACTTGTACTTTTGCTTATATCTGATATAAGAATAAGGAAAACCAGTGGTGTAAGGACTGTGCCCTCAGGTACAGAGCTATTAACTGTGCTTGGACTATTTTATTTCGTTGACTTACTCTCTGCATTTAGTTTGACAAAATTTAATATCCATTATCTTACTTTACCTGTTATTCCCACTGACCTCATTTTGTGGGTTATCACTCCATAGTCACATTTAGCAAATGCCTTTGCAAAGTCCATGTATACCACATCTGCATTCAGTTTTTCTTCTAATGCATCAGTGATTTTGTCATAGTGGTTGAGTAGCTGTGAAAGGCATGATCTTTGTGCTTTAAATCAATGTTGACCTGAGTTTTGGAGGTCAATGATCTTTATAAAACTGGAGATCTTACTCCTGATCACTCTCTCAAAAACGTTTATGTGGGACAATAGTGCAACTGGTCTGTAGTTCTTAGCCAATGCTTTGCTCCCTCCCTTGTGTAGGGGGAGCTATATCTGCTGATTTAAGTGCTTCTGGTATCTCCCATGTGTCCAAGCTTTTTTCCCCACTACACTTGAGTGTTTGTGCTACTGGCACTTTGCCTGCATTTCTTTATAAATATAGAATTATATGAGTATGGACCAGGGGCCGAGTGCATGGGCATGTTGTCAATTTATCTTTCAAAATCAGCAGAGTTCATTATGATATGAGTTAAATATACTGTATATGTACTGGATTAGTGATCCAGTGCCTTATTCAGAGTCTCATGAATTAATATCATAACCATTAACAAAGCTAACTTTAGTTAGTTATGGAGAAGGTTTATTTGTTGGAGGCAGTTAGGTCACCAGAACCATAACACACTCATGCCACCCACAAGTCAGAGATAAGAGAGAGCTTCTATAATTGTCATACTCATGACAAGAATGCTTAATACAGTATCAACTTACAGCATACTGGACAATATGTAATTGGAGTACAGTATATTACACACAAATAACGAACCTTGAAATTCCCATCAACGACTTTAACCAAGCACGGTACTTCTTGATTGCCAAACTTAATTACAAGGTTCCACGTAGCTGGTATCTTACTGCTGCTTCTAATCTTTGTTTCATTAACAAAGTTGCAGGATCTTAGCATGTTCTTCAGATGTATTGATGCCAGCAGTGCAGTCAGATCAATCTGGAAAATAAAGTTTTTTAAATATTTTAAATATTTAAATGAAGATGATAGCATTTGACTCTAAAGTATTTGCACACACATATTACAGAAAAATTTACAAACATAAAAGTTTAAAACGTTTAAAACAGAAAGATTCATTTTAACTACAGTATATAAAATATATACAGTATGTGGCTGCTGCAGACAGTCAAGGGAAGTATCCCTAGTCTTCTATACTGTACCAGGAATACCTGGAGCATACCTGGAGAGGGGTTCAGGAGTTCTACTATCCAAGCCCGGCCTGGGGCCATGCTCGACTATAGTTGTAAGGTTGTATTCTTAAACATTTATTTCATCTCTCATAATACAAACAATATGAAATATTCTTAAAAATGCAAGCACTCTCCTCTACTTCCTCATTTCAGTCATGGAGCTTCATGTTTTCTTATTTACTGTATTATTCTTTATACCATCAGCAACAGTAACCTCAATGCTTAATTTGGCAATCAGTGATTAATGACACTGAAGGCAATGCATGACTGCTGTAACACCTGGAAGTTTAACACCTAGAAGTGAACACCCAGACGAAAGTGCTTAGAAATGCCAGGAAATTGCAGTGATGAAGATGGCAAACTTTGGTCAATAAGACAAGACCTCTCAAAGGAAGACAGAGAAAAGCTGAAAATGAACCTCAATGAGGCAAAATGTCTAAATGGTAATAGAAATGAAGAATAAATTTTGTTTCTACAAAGTGTTAGGGACTGGAAAGCTAGTGAAAAGGTACATAAAAACAAGGCAACAAATTCATTAGAGAAAAGGGGATTGAAGGACAAAGGGAAAGGGAATGTGTTCCTTAATATACTGTATTACAATATCTGGAAATTCTAGATGAAATTCTAGAAAACATGCATGTTTTTATGACATTTCAAAAATTCTTTTGCCAGAGAGCAACCAAGTTTTCAAAATGTCGTACCATCCACAAGGAAATAAGCATTTGTAACAACCCTGAGTATTTACATATCACAAAGCTACAACCTACCTGCTCCCTCGGAGTTAGCTGCCTTCCCTTAAAACCTTCAGGATAGACTTGGGGCAAATAGTTCGTTGAAATATCTCCTGATATAAAATGATCTTCTGTCAATATATCTCGCAGAAGAGGGATGTTATGTGTTACACCTGGGGAAAGAAATTATTATTTATACATGAAAGTTGGACACAATTTCCAGCTATATTTCAGTTCATTACATTCCTGAAATATAGTCCAGAACCAAAAAATAATTAGATCAGATCAGCGGTGCAGCTGCTTATATTTTGGGCAAGAGAATTGCTATACAGGATGTGAAACTTGCATTCCTAGATGTGATGTTTTGTGTTGCCACATCAGGCCACCAGGGCAGCGCACCCAGTTGTGGTGCACCATCGCAGTGCTATGGTTTTGTGTCATTCACTCATTGCAAATGGCTGACAGGCAAATGAAAGTTGAAAATTACTTTTCTGCAATTTCTTGGGTGATTATATTTGCATGTTCCATTTGTTCTTATTGCCCATATTTACATTCATCCCATGCATAATATTGGCAAGTTCCACGTTTGTGGTTTGTTGGATTATTTTGGTTGTTCTGTAATACACTCTGTGTTGGCTCTTTGCTGAAAGATTAAAGTTGAGATCTTACCGATTCCTGTTGTTGCTCGGTCACTTCCTTAATTACCGTATTTGCCGGAGTATAAGATGTGATTTTTTATTTTTAAATATAAAAAAAGTGCCCTGCATATAATGCGGCCATATTACGGATGCGAGACAGAAAGCCGTAGGCTAGGGAGCCGGACGAGTATACTTGGAAAATTCGCTAGGCACAAAAATCGTTGCTAATAATAATAAAATATTGAAAACAAGCCAAATTATTACGGTAAATTATGTTACTAATAATAACTCTGCTTGCTTTTAATATTTTATCACTGTCTGTTATCACAAACTTAGAAAAAATTACTTACAATATGTACCTGAGGCAAACCATTGATCATACAACAGACCAATGAACACAGAAGACAAGTTAAACTTGATTCTTGTATGGTAAGAAAACCAAGCCAAGCACCTTCAACCAGTGAGGCATCACAGGCAAGCCAAGCACCTTCAACCAGTGAGGAGTCACAGGCAAGCCAAGCACCTTCAACCAGTGAGGAGTCACAGGCAAGCCAAGCGCTTTCAACCAGTGAGGCCTCACAGGCAACCCAGGTGCCTTCAACCAGTGAGGCTTCAGCAGCTGGCAGTCAAAACTAACTTTGCTTAATGAACTGTACAGTAATTTTAAGTGTTAATTTTAGTGTTGTGTTAATATAGGTTATGTAAATTGTCAAGAATTCTTAACTTCAAGATGTGTGGCATCAATCAAGAAGACAAACAACAACAACAACAAGGAAAGGTGTTGTTTCTAGTTGAATATTTAATAACTATATGTGGCAAGGCAATTCAAATTATGTTGTTTGTAGTATAAAAATAGTTGGAAATGGTCACTTTTGGACTCAGAGGTGAAAAAGTACTCTTATCCGGAAAACGTGATTACACGGCTGGAGATCCTTCCCATATAGTCCGGATAATCGAGTGGAGACAGTAATTTTTGTTAAATTAACATTATCAATCAATAAATCTCTTAGGTAATTAAAAAGAGTAAAGGTGTAAAAACAAATTAACCCATACCTCTAATAACATAAGCATCTAAAGCATTTATGCTGTTTTCAATTGCTTCTTCTCTATTATTCCCATAACATACCAGTTTGCAAATCATAGGATCATAGTATATACTAATTTCACTTCCTTCTTCAACGCCACTATCACATCGCACCTGAAAAAAAGTTAACGAACATTAACATTGTGAACACAATGGCACATCCATGCATGTCAGAACATTGTATAAAGTTATTCAAGATAAGTGGGAAAAACATATGGATAGTATCAAGGCTTCAGTCTTTTATGTAAATTACACCAGAATAAAAACCAGCATTGAATATAATGAAACACCAGTTTCTGGGTGAGTCCCGGAGGCTCCCCGGATCTCTCCAGGCTGAATGGATATGTATAACTTTCTAGCATCAATGTGCTTGGAGGTCTTGCCTACCGGGGATCACGAGCCAGAACCTGGGCCCCTCCCTCAGAGAGGCACGAGGAGCAATGGCCTATAGAACCCCCCCCCCCCCCCTGTGGTTGGGAGCATTCTATATCTGCCATCAACCAGACCTGTACAGGCACCCAGAAAACCCTATTCTGGCGAAACTTGTGCTACCGAAAGCCGAACGAGTGGACAGAACTCCCCAAACGAAAATAAGCAAACTGGCATGATATCATTATGTTGCCGCGCCGCTGTCTGAGCGACCCCCCCTTCCCCAGGAGGGGAAAGGGGGAGCCCCAGACCCTTGTGCCGGCGACCCAATCTGCAGTTCTTAGGCTTGATGTCAAAAAACGCGAAAAACAACACCGAAAAACACCAAAAATTTATTTCGTGTGCACAAGGGGAGGGGGGTGCCGTATTTGGAAGGCGAGCAGCATAGTGGTTAAATGAACCCACCACAAGTTCTATAATGTTTTACTAATACTGAACTACTGTTAATAAAAAAAAATTGTAAAACCTTCAAGATGCTTACTTTTGGCAAATGAAGAGGCTCTTGGTATTTTGAGAGACGACCAATAGAAGGCAAGCCGAAGCTTTTAAAAGGATCCTCAGCATACACTCGACTCTCGATAGCCCAGCCACGTATCAGGATATCTTTTTGTGAGATTCGCAGAGGATGTCCTGAAAGTCATAATACCATTAAATGTGTATTTACTCAAAATATATGATATATATAAATTAATTCTGCAGGAGACAATTTCCAGTTTACTGACACTAAGACTTTTGGAGAAAGTGAAAGTTGAAATTAACTCTGATTCAATCAACTGCCAACAAAATAGAAAAGTAAATTATGAAACCGACTTATAGGGTTCTCTAACAAGAAAAAAGGTGCAATGTATACAGGAAAAGGGAGGGTGGAAGGGTGTGAGGGGTGGTGAGGAGGAAGGTGGAAGTGGGTGGAGGAGGAGGTAATACAGCTGGCGCTGTATTTGCTTGGTTATACTCCCTAAACGTTAGGTCGTCAGACATCATTATTCACAGATCCTTAACATGTTGCTTTCCGACCATAGTCAGATTTGATTTTGTTCTGTACCCAGTATTTTGTTTAAGGTCTTCAGTTTTACCATACCTAGGAACCTGGAATTTAGCACTGTTCAACATCATGTTATTTATTACTGCCCAGTCAAAATCTTTATAAACATCTGCTTGTAGTTTTTCAATGTATTTAGCAGAGGTTATTTTCATGCTGATTTTTGTGTCAGTTGCAAAGGATGATATGAAGCTGTGACTTATATTTCTGTCTATCTGATATGAGAATAAGGAAAAGCAGTGGTGCAAGGACTGTACCCTGAGGTACAGAGCTTTTAACTGTGCTTAAGACTCGATTTTATTTGGTTGACTATTACTCTTTGTGTTCTGTTTGACAGGAAATTGAGTATCCATCATCCTTTTTCCTGTTATTCCCAGTGACCTCATTTTGTATGCATTCACTTCATGGTCACAGTATTGAATAGACATTACACACATTCTAGAGTGTTGCCTCATTCTGACACACTATTATACATTTCCAATTTTCCACATAGCAACTTTCCTACAATTTCAACTTTTATGTGTGTAGTATTGCACTTCACTGTTCACTATGGTCCAAATATATTAACTATACATATGTAAACATATGTAGACATGTGCCTCATGGCACTAGCTCCCATGTGGACCAGTGTGGTGACTATTTTCTATTTAACACAACGTTCTAAAGTTAATCGCTTTATTCTATTTTCCTACGAGATGCTATACACCTGGTGATGTCTGTGATCAGTGGATTAGACGGATGGAGTGGAAGAAGAGTAGACGGAGGGTGGAAGCGGGAAGGTTGAAGTTCGGTTAAGAGGAAGGGTGGAAGAAAGGTACAATGAGGGTTTAAGAGGGGATGAGAGAAGGAGGGTTTAAGAGGGGATGAGAGAAGGAGGGTTGAAGAGTGGATGAGAGAAGGAGGGTTGAAGAGTGGATGAGAGAAGGAGGGTGGATGAGGGGTAGAGGAGGAAGGGGTAGAGAGGGGGGGTAGAGGGAGGGGAGAAAGACTAGTAATTTGAGGTGTGAAAGTGGAGTAGTGGGAGGGATGGAAAAGGAATAAAGGGAGGGGTAGATGAGGAGTAGAGGGAGGATGGAAGAGGAAGAAAGGAAGGATGGATGATGAGAGACCTTATTTAGTCAGTGTACCTTTAGCTATTCGTATCATCTGATGAACAAGATCCACACCAGTTATGCATTCAGTAATGGGGTGTTCCACCTGAAAGAATATTATTATTAAATAAAAACAGGATTTCTCCCCTAATCAATTCTCACTCACTATTTTAACGAGGCAAAAATGCTTGATTGAAAATAAAGTATTTAAGACGAATTTAACCCTTGGAGGGCACAAATCATATACATATAATTTGGTCTAATTTGTGCCTGGAGGGTGCATATCATAAATATATGATTCAGAGATTTAAAATATTTAAAATAGTCTGGTACAGACAGCTCTCATGTATGCTTCCTAAGGGCCTTAAGTAACCATCCACCATCATGAAAAAGAATCCTGAGTCCCTCACTTTCCTTCTAAGGCCTTAATAAAAAAAAATGAGGACCATTTATGATAACATCACCATCCACTGTCTGAATGTTTAGGGCAGCCATACAGGAGACACTTTTAACAACAGCAAATGAGTGATTACCATGTGTATATTTCAAACCTTCACGGGGGAAAGAGTTTTTCTGACAGACAGACAGACAGACAGACAGACAGACATGACAGTGTCAGACCACGGAGGAAAATTGAAACAGGAATTTCCTTAAGTACTTTCGTATATTAATACATCTTCAGAAGGAGTGGTTTTACAGGTCAAGTTCTGGACATAAATAGGCAGGAGAGAATGGCGGAGTGAGGTGAGGTACAATACGTGGACACTGCAGAGGGCCTATTGGCCCATCCGATGCAGCAACCACACACAGGCCCAACACATGGATAATTATAACATAAAACAACAGCAATATTTATAAATATTTACAATGAATTAGTGAGACAAATGTGTTCCAATGATCCTACTTAAATCGCCCTTTAATTGATTAAAAATGGATCTAAGTTATATAAACCACTGCTAATGTTCAAATTACTTTCTTTTGTGATCTGTATCACAGATTTCTGTTATAGGTGAATCTGCTTTGATACAGATCACAAAAGAAAGTAATCTTTTGTAACTCTATCATCATTACCTAGCCTAAAAACCTTACATTTGTCAGCATTAAACTGTATCTGCCAATCTTTTGACAATTTCAAAACCCCTATTTAGATTGTCTTGAAGTGATAGTCAGTCTTTTTCTGTGAGTCTTTTGCCTGACTAATGATTACCTCGACCACAAGGCTTCGTGCTCAATATGACCTTCGATAGGTCACTTTATATACTGAAATGGTTTTAAAAATGTAAAAAAAATTGTACCTGTAGCGTACAGAACCCTGTGGGACTCCGATGGTGACAACCTGCCAGTCTGAGGTCTCACCCCCTCACAGTAACTCTCTGCTTCCTGTTAAGTACTCCCTTATCCATTGGAGCACCCTACCACTTACTCCAACTTGTTTCTCCAGCTTATGCAACGGTCTCTTATGGGGTACTGTGTCAAAAAGAAAATGCAGTCTGCCCATCCTTCTCTTTCTTGCTTAATGCTGTATGTATGTATGTATGTATGTATGTATGTATGTATGTATGTATGTATGTATGTATGTATGTATGTATGTATGTATGTATGTATTCATGCATGCATGTATGTATATGTAGATTCCAACAATGAGCCCTCTCAGAAACCAATTGAAGAGTCAACTTTACAATGACATTTTGCCTGTACAAGCCAAAATTGTATATGATAAAGCCCTTACAGGCAAAGTCTTCTTTATTAAAGTCTAGTCTCCACTTGCTGTGTCTACATAACTGTCAGCACTCTGCTCTTACATCAAATAAATATGTAACAATGTGCTTGAACCTGAATGTCTAATATGACCTCCATACAATACCAAATTTCACACATACAACAACAAAAATGAATGCAGTCAAAAAATTATGCGTACGTGTACAGTATAAGAAACCACGAATTCATAATCCAGAAATCATAGAAAAAGAATAACACTCACCTGAAGTCGAGTGTTCATTTCTAAGAAATAAAAGTTCTTCTTAGAGTCTACAAGGAACTCTACAGTGCCAGCTGAAGAATATCCAATTTGTTTGGCAAGAGCTACTGCTTGCTCACCCATGGCTTTCCGCGTACCTTCATCCAAGAACACGCTGAAGGATTAAAACAATAGGAGCTAAATTATTCTTTACATAAAAGATCTTTTCAGTACAAAACTTGACACTTAGCGTGTTGGCTTTTGTGCAGGCCTTATGCTCAATTAAAGTATACTCTCCCAACCATGCAGATAATAATAATGGGACAAAAACCCTAACCCATATATTTAGTGAAAATGATGACAGGCTTATACACTCCCATAGGCTCAGTGGTACACTGGTACCACTGAGCCTATGGTGTCATACTAGACTGCTGAGACCCATGCTACCCTACTGGGAGTTAGAACCAAATTGTGGTTCTCTCGTGAAGCAACCTGGTTGATGGGGTTCTGGGAGTTCTTTTACTCTCCAAGCCCAGCCCGAGGCCAGGCTTGACTTGTGAGAGTTTGGTCCACCAGGCTGTTGCTTGGAGCGGCCCGCAGGCCCACATACCCACCACAGCCCAGTTGGTCCGGAACTTCTTTTTGAAAACAGTCTAGTTTTCTCTTGAAGAGAAAACGGTTGTTCCGGCAATATTTCTTGTAGTCGCTGAGAGGACGTTGAACAGCCACGGACTTTTGATGTTTATACAGTGTTCTCTGATTGTGCCTATGGCACCTCTGCTCTTCACTGGTTCTATTCTGCATTTTCTTCCATATCGTTCACTCCAGTACGTTGTTATTTTACTGTGTAGATTAGGGACCTGGCCTTCCAGTATTTTCCATATGTATATTATTTGGCATCTCTCTTGTCTCCTTTCTGGCAAGTACATTTGGAGAGCTTTGAGATGATCCCAATAATTTAGGTTCTTTATCGCATCTATATGCTGTATATGTTCTCTGTATTCCCTCTATTTCAGCAATCTCTCCTGCTCTGAAGGGGAAAGTGAGTACTGAGCAGTACTCAAGACGGGTCAACACAAGTGACTTGAAGAGTACAACCATTGTGATGGGATACCTGGATTTGAAAGTTCACATAATCCATACTATCATTTAAGCAAGCAAGAGCAAGAGAAGTCTGGTCATCAGAGATCAACCCAAACTTGAGGAAACTAACCAGAAAAGCAGACAAAACAAAACAAACAACTGTTTAAAAGAAAATTAAATGAGAAAAACAAAGCCATGACAGGTTACTAGAGATAAACAGCCCTAGCCCTAATTTACCCAGCAGCCACCAGATGACAGTGCAGGTCACCCAAAATCACAGCCTACCACATATCTACATATCTAGCTCAATTGCTTAATACTGCATGGTCATTAGCCATTTCATGGCATAGAAACTCAGTGTTGAATGTAAGGAGAACAACTGACGGCACTTAGATAAAGAACTTCGTGACTGATGGCAGGCACTTAGTAGTTTGGCACCATATCAGCATTGTAGCTACAGAGAGCAACAAGGGGCTCCCAGAAAAACTGTAATAAATACCAATTAACCAATATATATTACTCAGCTCTGCTTAATTTTGAAAAAAACTGTAGAGCAAAGCAAAGCAAGAGGCTCTCACCTTGGTGCCTCTTCAATCACCTTTTGGTTGCGCCGCTGAATTGAGCACTCTCGTTCATTTAAGTAAATGGCATTTCCGTGCTTGTCACCTAAAACCTGGGAAGAAATATCAAGGTAATGTAGTAAGTTCATGACAGGTGAGCAAGCTTTAGCAAGAAAATATGATACAAAATATATACTTTACAGTAATAGATATAAAGGTGAAGGAAAGGAGCATTGTAAAAAGAAACATACTGACGCTACAGTTTCTGTGCAACGTAACACTTAACCCTTGGACAGAAGCTATAGAAAAATGGTCATTCCTGCCCGAGTGCAAAAACCAGCATTGAATGAAACTCCATTTTCTGGGTGAGCCTGAGACACCCCAGAGGCTCCCCAGAGCTTACCTGGCTGATATGTATGTATTAGACCGTGGCATCAGTCGACTGGAGTTCTTGTCTACCGGGTACCACAAGTCAGAACCTGGGCCCCCTCAGAGAGGAGCAATGGCCTATGGAAACCCCCATGTATTTGGAAGCCCTCCATGTCTGTCATCGACCAGGGTCTGGCATCCAGAAAGGTAGGTGTAGCAAAACAAACTCCACATGATAAAGCAAAACAAACTCCACATGATAAAATTTTGCTACCAAACAGAGAGGCAGAACTTCCTTCAATCCCAAAGATACAAGCAAATGTCACATCTTGAAGTCACACCGCTCGTCCACGCAGTCCTCCCCTCACCAAAAGAGGGGAAGGGGGGAAGCCCCAAGTTCAGATGCTAAGCATCAAGACAATGAGAAAAACCGCAGACTGGAGGGAGGGAGGGAGGGAGGGTTGCCAGGAGACTTCGGAGCTCACCCAGAAAATGGAGTTTCCTTACATTCAATGCTGATTTCTGTGGGGAACCCCTTTGGCTCCCTGGAGCTACATAACCAGAGATAAGTGAAAAGAGGGACTTACCCAGGAAGTAGTCACACTACATCAATCAACTCGACCACGAGCTGTGAACACGTCTCGCAAGACTCCGGGTCGTTGGTGTCACTGACCCAACAGGCAGCATGACAGAGGCAAAACAGGTGACCGTCGCCCTGAAACAACGAACAACCTTCAAACTCGCACAAGGTGAGATGGGACTGGGAAGACACACCCATGGATTTGCTAAGCCCCAATGGGGTTTTCCAGGGCCCGTAGGGGGTTCAGCCTACGGGAAGCCCAGGCAGTGGTGCTGCAAAGCCGGTTGAGCCCAAATGAGAATGTCAACAAGAGGGAATAGGGCTTTAACTCAACCTCCTGAGAGGTGTACAAGCATGGGGGACCTAAAGGAGGGTCACCAAAATACCTTAAGTGGACTAATAGTCAAACTAGGCAGACCTCCTCCAAGCAAAAACAAAATGTAAACAAAAACTCTGCAAAATCACAACCACTACAGGAGGAACAGGGAACACAGCTGCCATGTTGGTAGGTGTGCTACACAGCACCTTGCCCCCCCCCCCCTCCCAAATCAGCAACAACAACACTTCCTACCCAAGGCCAAACAAAGGCCACTAAACCCCAGTTGGCCCCAAAGGCGGGGCAACTGCCAAGCAGTAAGAACCTCTACAGAAGTGAAGCCCAAAAGCTCCAGGGAATTGAATCTTAGAACCCAAGGGTAGTATTCTAAGGGCACTTAGGGAAGGCAGCCCTAAGCGCATACAGCCCCAGTACACTAATTTCTCCTGGCCACCGCACAACAGATAGCAGGATACACCATAAAGGCACATATACTGCCAAGAAACCGAGACCAGAATCAACGACCACCCCAGAGTGCATCAGCCTATGAACTGGAGGTGTGAGTAACCGGCACGGTTGGGGGAGGGCTGCACGGACAAATGGCACAGCGGCCATGTATGACGTTTGCTTGTTTCTTTAGATTTGGGGGAGTTCTGCCTCTCTGTTCGGTCTTCGGTTGCAATTTTCTTACCATGTGGGGTCTGTTTTGTTATGCCTACCTTTCTGGGTGCCTAACCCTGGTTGATGGCAGACATGGACTGTCCCCAAATACATGGGAGGATTCCATAGGCCATTGCTCCCTTTGCCTCTCTGAGGGGCCAGGTTCTGACTCGTGGTCTCTGGTAGGCTGAACTCCAATTGACTGATGCCCCAGACTAATATAGTGTATATCAGTCCGATAGCTCCAGGGAGCCGAAGGGGTTCCCCAACAGAAATATACATGCATCATGAAGCAAATACCAAAATAGGGAACAAATATATAAGCAAATGTTCCCTGCCAGACAAAAAATATGTCCAGGATGGCCAACACTTTGAAAAACCAGAACTCAATGAGCGTTGTGGTGGGAATGAAGAGTGTAATAGTGACATGATCTGTTGCACCAGGTAAAATGACTGATAATCAAGGCTAGAGGATTTAGGAGGAAAGGCCAAAGTGCCTTAGTGGTATGCAGGTGGAATTAATGAGTGACCTGCTTCACGACTAGGTGGCTACTTTGTTTCGGGGTCTCAACTCATTTTCAAGGCTTTGTTTACTTAGTGGATTACCTGTTTTGGCTCAACACACTTTCTGGTAGAATTTTCTTGGTTAGAGTTATCTAATATTCCCTGCTCCTTGTGCCTCTGGTTTGCTAAGTTTTGCCTTCTGGTCCCCAATAGGTTTACAACACCTCACAAGGGCCTGCTATGGATTAACCACTGTACAAATGAGAGTTGTGCTTTTTTTAAATTAAGCTAAATTTTTTATGTTTTTTAATGTTTTTATCACTGTGTGTTTTGAAATGAAAATGGTTGAGTTTGTAAACATTTTGACATTAACTTTACCTGAACATTTATAAAAAACAACAAAAATATATCTTTGACAACAGCACTATGAAGTTTTTGCCGAAACCAGGTGCGCAGTGCAGTGCTTAAACTGAGTGGAACTTTCCAGGTAGCAAGCACCAAGGAGCCACTGAAGGAGCACATTTCTAAAAAACTCAATCAAAATACCATTCGCATCCCCTCCTACTCATGCCAACAATGCCACTCACCCATCCATCCATCCAGCTATATTTACAACAAATATTTGCCAGTCTTACATAACCTACCTGGAGGGTAACAAAATATACTGAACTTTTATATTATAATTTCAAATCTGACATTTCCAATTCCATACACTATTACTTTCTTGAGCAAGGACAAATAATGATAATACTACAATCTTACTTGAATTTCAATATGTCTGGGGTTGTCTACAAATTTTTCAACAAGAATTCTATCATCTCCAAAGCTTGACGCAGCCTCCTGTGTTGAGAGTTTGAAGCCTTCTCTAGCCTCTTCATCATTCCAGGCGATTCTCATCCCTTTGCCTCCCCCTCCAGCCGAGGCCTTAATCATAACCGGATATCCAACGTCCCGGCTAATTCTAACACAATCTTCGGCATCCTTAACTATCCCATCATATCCTTAAGAACAAAAATAAAATAATACATTAGCACACAGTAACTACATAAATAGGAATAAAAGTGATTCAGTTTTATACAAAAATGCTTTCTTGAAACCCTGTCCCAAAATGGACCATATTGTTGTATTAAAAATCTTGTGGGGCAAATTGCATGCATTTGACCAAGAATTTTATAATATAAAAATGAAAATATAAATACATTAAAAAATTTAGGTTAATTGACAAATTTCCCACAATTTTTTTTATAATTGTTATGTTTATTAGCATAATATAATATAACGTATTCTGAACTAAAAATTCTTCAAGGCATTTTCTGGAAGAGCCACACTCAGTCACTCCCCATAAGGCCTCAGAGGACCCATGAGCACCTACCAAGGACCAGGATCAGAATTTAAGAACATAAGAATGAAGGTAACTGCAGAGGGCCTATTGACCCATACGAGGCCGCTCCTATTTATATCCACCCAATCTCATTCACATATATCTCTAACCTACGCTTGAAACAATCAAGGGATCCTACTTCTAGTATGTTATGCAGTAATTGGTTCTACAAATCAACATACCTGTTACCGAACCAGTAATTACCCAGGTCTTTCCTAAATCTAAACTTATCCAATTTATAACCATTATTTCATGTTCTATTTTGTGCTGATACTTTTAATACCCTATTAATATCCCCTTTGTTATGTCCATTCATCCACTTGTACATCTCTTATCATGTCACCTCTAATTCTTAAAGTCTAATAATTAAATTAATTAAAGTCTCTAACCTCTCTTCATAGCCCTTGCCTTTTAGTTCTGGAAGCCACTTAGTGGCATGTCTTTCCACCTGTCCCAGTTTGTTGATGTGCTTCTTATCTTTGTGAAATTGTTCACAAAGGTCATGAACAATTTCTTTAGTATTTCACCATGAATTTAAAACCCATTCTGAAATTGGAAATTGTAGCATAGGCTCCTCGCACACTGTTCTTTATGTAGTCCTCAGGTGATAATTTTCTACCTTGAACCACCCTAGCTCTCTTTCTTAATCAGATTTTTTTAAAGCTTTTTTTCCACATAATTTGTAGATTGTGTGTGGTTTATTTTCTCATATTCCACACTCCATAACATTGCATTTATTCACATATACTGGTCCCACTTGGCATCAGTGGATCCCACTTGGTCCCCATGGTCCCACTTGGCATCAGTGGATCCCACTTGGTCCCCATGGTCCCACTTGGCATCAGTGGATCCCACTTGGTCCCCATAGTCCCACTTGGCATCAGTGGATCCCACTTGGTCCCCATGGTCCCACTTGGCATCAGTGGATCCCACTTGGTCCCCATGGTCCCACTTGGCATCAGTGGATCCCACTTGGTCCCCATGGTCCCACTTGGCATCAGGGACCAAGAGATCCCTGATGCCAAGTGGTGCTCCATATATTTATTTTGGCTAGGTCTTCTTAAAGGGCATGACAAGTGTCATGGGAATGAACCGATACAGGCCATCTGCCAGAACGTTGGACACCCCCTGAATGTGAACAACCAGGAGAGCCAAATCTCAAGAACTCAGCAGACGAGTCACCCGAAACGACCAGCCCCAAAGAGCCAAGGTCCACATCGAATCCCCACGGTTCAGGCAATGAACCACCAGGGAGCAGTTCGAATGGAGCCGGATCGTCGATCCGTGAGCGACCCAAACCTCCCGAATCGACATCCTCACCGCTGTGAACTCTCGCACTGTGATATGGGCGCGATGGAAGGACGGACCCCACCGCCCCTGGCCGGCCACTGGTCGCAAAGCCCCAGCCAAGAGACAACACATCCGAGAACACATCGAGCAAGGGCTCGGGTAGGTGCCAAAGCACCGAACCCAGAAAAACCTGAAGAGGAAGCTGGCAACGCAACAGCTGACGTAAGGCACCCAGAGGCCAAAACCAGCAATCGTCAGAGAGACGGAAGGGACGTCACTATAGGAACTAGAACAGCCGCTAAAGCCAAAGGCGACCCGATGGGTAGACCAACATTGCAAAGTTCAGACTCCGACACAAACCCCTCGAGCAACCGCCTTGTGACCCGGGAGCCCTCCAAAAACAGGCAAAGGTTTGGGACTGCAACCGCAGCAGAGCCTCCAGAGGGAGAGACAAGGAGGCAGTTCGAGAGTCCCACACAAGTCCCAGCCAAGACCGAACCTGAGAGGGACCCAGATGGGACTTCCTCCAGTTCACCAGGAACCCGAACCGGAATATGCAGCGGTTGTATGGTAACCTATCTAAAGAAGCACATCAACAAACTGGAAAAGGTGCAAAGACATGCCACTAAGTGGCTCCCAGAACTAAAGGACAAGAACTACGAGGAGAGGTTAGAGGCATTAAATATGCCAAAACTAGAAGACAGAAGGAAAAGAGGTACAGTAATATGATCACTACGTACAAGATACAAGATAGTAACAGGAATTGATAAAATTGATAGGAAGATTTCCTGAGACCTGGAACTTCAAGAACAAGAGGTCAAAGATTTAAACTAACTAAACACAGATGCCGAAGAAATATAAGAAAATTAACTTTTGCAAACAGAGTGGTAGAAGGTTGGAACAAATTAAGTGAGAAGGTGGTGGAGGCCAAGACCGTAAGAAGTTACAAAGCGTGATATGACAAAGAGTGCTGGGAAGACGGGACACCACGAGCATAACTTTCATCCTGTAACTTCACTTAGGTAATTAGAGATGGTACCCCTGAATTCAAGCACCACCAAGTGTACTAAACTCCAGGCCTACATGTACATAAGTGCAAGGAACAGCCACCAAGGCAAAAGAAAACCCAAGAAAAACACTGGGACCAGAGAGACTGTGGTAGACCCAGCAAACATCATTCAGGCTTTCAAACAAAACATATCTTTCTACTTCCTTTCACATAGTACTCTACAGTTCATGAATTACCCTTACGTCATAGCTCGTTTTATATCCACAACTCTAATACTGTACGCATCTAGAAGTCTGACAATACAGGGTACTTAAATATATTTAATGTTAAAACTAATTTACTAATACTGCTGGTTTAACCTTATGACAAATACAATACCTGGAATAGTATTGACACCTGCTTCCATTGCAAGTCTCTTTGATTCTAGTTTGTCACCCATCCCTGTGATAGCATTGGCATTTGGACCGATGAAGAGAACGCCTAAATCCTCTAACTTTTGAACAAACTCTGCATTTTCACTAAGAAAGCCATATCCTGGATGGACTGCCTACAGAGACAAGAGAAATGTGTATGATAATCAGAATACCTGTACATTATAGGTTAAATATAATATTTAGCAAGAATAGATAAAACCAGCATTGAATGTAATGAAACACCATTTTCTGGGTGAGCCCCAGAGGCTCCCTGGAGCTATCGGGCTAATATTCGAATCATTAGACTCGGGCATTCTATGGAGTTCAGCCTACCGGGAACCACGAGACAGAACCTGGCCCTTCAAAGAGACACAGGGAGCAATGGCCCTGGAACCCCCCCCCCCCTCCCCTGTGGTTGGGGGTTTTCTTTATCTGCCATTGACTGGGGTTAAGCACCCAGAAAGGTAAGCATAACAAAACAGACCCCACATGGTAAGAAAATTGCAACTGGAAACAGAACAGAAGAGGCAGAACTCCCTCCAATCCCAAGGAAACAAGCAAACAAGAAAACGTCACCTTGTAATCACACCACTCGTCTGCACAGCCCTCCCCTCCCCAAGAGGGAAAGGGGGGAGCCCCAAACCCCCCAGCGCCGGCTACCTAGCACTCCAGCTCGGAAGCTAAGCATCAAAACAAACCCCAGCTGACCCGAAGGGCAGGCAATCACCGTGCAGCAAAAGATCCCTACGGATGTAGTTCCCGAATGACTTGTGGAAGTTAACCCCAAGCCGCAAGGGCAGTACTTACAGGGCACCTAGGGAAGAAGGCCCTAGGCACATGCAGCCCCAGTACTTCTTGAATTACTCCTGGCTCACGCACACACCACAACACAGCAGAACACCACCACAAGGCACAGCACTGCTCAGAAACAGGAGCCAGAGTCAAATGACTGCCACTCAACACATTAGCCTCAGAACTGGGGTTGGATAGCCACTGCGGGGGGTCTGGGGCTCCCACTGCCCCCTCCCGGGAAGGGGGAAGCTGCACAGACAGGCGGCACGGCAGCAGGTGTGACGTCATGCTTCTTTGCTTGTTTTTAGGAAGGGAAGTTCTGCTCAGCAGTTCGGTTTTCGGTAGCAATGTTTCACCAGTTGGGGTCTGTTTTAAGATGCCTACCTTTCTGGGTGCCTAACCCAGTAGATGGCAGACATAGAATGCTTCCAACCACATGGGGGTGTCTATAGGCCATTGTTCCTTGTGCCTCTCTGAAGGGGCCTAGGTTCTGGCTCATGGTCCTCGTAAGGCTAGAGCTCTAATCGAATTGACTGATGCCACAGTCCAATACATACATATCAGCCTGGTATAGCTCCAGGGAGCCAGAGGGGCTCTCCACAGAAAAATGTCCTGAAAAGTAAATATCAATACAAATTATATATTTCATATTGCACATAACAATACTGAACCAGCCCATCCCACTGAAATGCAAGATCTTATAATAACTACCTGTATTTGGTCAAAAGAACCAATATGAAGTGATGAATCCCTAAAAAATTGACTCTTAATTATTAAATTCGGCCAAATGGGAAACTTTTGTAGTGACTATAAATAGAGAACTTAATTTAACCCTTCCTAGCACTCCTAGGCCTAATACACAAATCCACTCTTAGGCTTAATAAGTACATGTATGTGCTATACTTGGCCTAGGAATAATTACATTGGGTATTTAGCTTTATTTTTCCAGACTATCAAATTAAAACTACAAAAAATATAATATATTTGCTAGTCACATGTCATCCAGATAATCAGGTCACCATTCACATTAACCAACCACTTTGAATAATATCCATAGTGTGCAATGTGAAGATAAATAAACAAACCTGAGCTCCAGTAAGCTTGACTGCTTCCAGGATACGATCCATGCGTAGATAAGAGTCTCGAGCCTGAGCTGTGCCCACACACACTGCTTCATCTGCCAGCTTCACGTGTGGCTGTAATGCACAATGATCAATTAGAAGTTGAACTCTAAATTCAATGAACAATGCTATCATTACTACTGAACAGACAGCTTTGTGAATACACAAATCAGCAGCATGACTCAAAACATGAACACATACTTTATACTAACTTAAAAACTAGAAATTATATTTCCCACTGTCAGGAATAAGAAACCTGTACTGTAGATAAAATTGATAAGGAAGATTTCCTGAGACCTGGAACTTCAAGAACAAGAGGTCATAGATTTAAACTAACTAAACACAGATGCCGAAGAAATATAAGAAAATTAACTTCGCAAACAGAGTGGTAGAAGGTTGGAACAAATTAAGTGAGAAGTTGGCATGTTGAAGTACCCTTAAGCCAACTAATAACGTTCCTCAGGATGCAACCACAATAGTTGCCTAACTCCCAGATATCTATTTTACTGCTAGGTGAACAGAGGCATCAGGTCAAAAAAAGAATTTGCCCAACAATTTCTGTCCTGTCTGGGGATCAACCTGGATCCCTCAGTTGTGAGCTTATGATGCAGACCATTGTGCTACATCTCAAATATGAACCAATATCTTGTTGAACAAGAATGCAACTCTTCAAGAATAGATTTTTCTATCCAATCTTTCAGATAAAATATTCTTATTGGAATAAAATACAGTTGGTAGGGAAAAATCACCAGTCCGAGCTACTTAGTTTCTATGATAAGAGCCACAGAGATTTTACAGGATTTTATGGTTGGACTGACTGCATTTATCTGGACATAAAAAAAAAATTTAAGCATAATAGGTCATTCTGGAAACTGAAATATACTGGAGGAGTGACAGGGTTTGTGACATGAATGAAAATTTTTCTAACTGATAGAAGAATGAGGGCAGTAATAAGAGGCAATCCTTCGGACTGGAGAAATATCACAAGTTAACTGAACCCTGTGATAGTTCTTTACCACAGGGTTCAGTTCTTTCAACAGTTTAATGTTCACTGTTTATATAAACAATCTACCAGAAAGAATATTGAATTATATGAACATGTTTGTTAATGAAGCTAAGATACTAGGGAAGATAATCTTAGATCATTGTCATGCCCTTCAAGACCTAAATAAAGTAAGTGTATGGGAACAACACTTGATAAATGGAATTTAATGTGAATAAATGCCACATTACAGAACAGGGGGTGACCAAACTTGCTTACTGTAAGAGCCACCAAATGAGAAAGCTCAGAATGTTTGAGAGTCGTGGCTTCCTTACTGAACAATGTCAACAGTGTTTGCTGGCTATTTATTGATGATTTTAACTCATTAAACTTATTTTTCCTCAAGTTTGATTTAGGTGGGTAATCATATGAAAAGTTTTTGTGATTAGTTTCCAGTGGCATTTCAAGTTACTAGCTTTGTAATGATTGTGTGGCACTTGGCAGATATGGCACAAAGGTTTACCTCCTTTAACCATGAATGCAAACTCTTCTTCTCACCTTGGGTAAAAATTTATATTTTCATATTTTTGTTTCTTACAATTTTTTTAAGCGATTTTCCTTCACAAAGTTTTCAGACACTTTAAATAAGATTTATATATAAAGTGTACCAGCTAGGTCTGCACAGTTCAACGTCTGCACTTGTACTAAACTCCCTTCCGTAGATATAAGAACTCTTCATATAGCCGTGTGTTTCTTGCTCTGGATTCAAGTCATAATTTCTAGAACATCAAATTCTCCAGAATTTTTCATGAGCCACATATTAAAGGTCGAAGAGACACGCATGCAGCTTGTGAGCCGCGATATGGCCACCCATTATAGAATGTGGAATAGGAGAAAAAAGACCACATACATAACCTACAAATTATGTGGAAAAGCTTAAAAAAATTCTGATAGAGAGATCTTGGGGTGGTTCTAAATAGAAAACTGTAACCTGAGGACCCCACAAAGAACATTGTGTACGGGGGGCCAATGCTAATCTTTTCAATTTCATAATTGCTTTTAAATACATGGATGGCAAGATACTAAATAAACTGTTCATGACCTTTGTGAGACCAAAGCTGGAAAATACAGCAGTTGTATGGTGGCCATATCATATGAAGCACAATATAATGACTGGTATATAAAGTTTAGCTTTTGTGGTTGTTAATGTAAATGTTTCTCCTAGTTAAAATACCAGTTTGTTTTATTTGTGTTAATTTTTATATTTCATTTGTGTTTCAGAGTACAGTATGAAACAGTAAACGAGTATGATTCTGTGTGTCTATGACACACTGCGCATGTACAAAACTGACTATTGTACTGGCGGGGATTCCAAATGCAAGAGTTCAAGATTGTTTTCAACATTTAACACTGCTGTTTCTATGTCTCTCTGCTGACTTATACCCTTCACAAGGGGCTCACTTGAACTCCATGGACTGATGGCACCAAACTAATATGGCACATGTTAGTTTGATAGCTTCAGGGAACCAACGGGGCTCCCCCACAGAATAATTGTATTGTGAGAATAAATAGAAACCAAACTTACAGCATTAGAGTCAACATCGGAATGAATAGACACGGTTTTGATTCCCATTTTCTTGGAAGTCTTAATTACTCGGCAAGCAATCTCTCCTCGATTAGCTATCAGAATTTTGTCAAATGTGACTTCATTTGGATCAATGGGGTCTGTAGTGTACATGGAGCAGAGTCTTGTGCTGGATAAGTATAGGCTTTTCTTTCCCTGAAAAATATAATAAAATTAAGAACATTTCAGTACTGTACCACAAGACCTAATTAGGCTAAATACATGTATGCTTAGTGTAAAAACTAAATCCTAATCCAAATCCTAAAGTTTTTTTTGGGCATTCTAGTGAATTTATATTTAATTCTATAGTATGGTGACCAAAACTGAACTGAATGTTGTTATTGTTGTGAAAATCAGTAGGAGGATTCGAACCTATGGGTACTTTTGAAGTATCAATGATACTTTACGTTAATGTGATTTCTCTGCATGGGACCTAACAAGAGCAAGATATAGCTGAAGGCACAGATTTAGTCTGAATCGGGATATCAAAGATAAATTTATTTCTGGTGTGATGCTCATGGGTTCTATTACAACTATCAAGGAAATGTTTCAGATCAAGATTACCAATTAGGAACAAGGTTTTGTATATGTAGATTGCACATGAGAATGTGTGGAGTTAGTGTATGTTTAGCATGTTAAGGGACTTATACAGAGGGGCTGTGTGTTGTCTGAAGACAGAGTTAGTAATAGTTCTGATAGTAGATTTTTGCAGAGTGATGATAGGCTTCAGGTAATTTGCAATGGTTGAACCCCATGCACAGATACCCTATGTAAGATAGGGATAGATTAGTGCATAGTATAATAAGAGGAGTGCAGAGAGGGGAACATAACATCTGATTTTAGAAAGTATACCAACCATTTTTAAGACTTTTTTGGCTATGTATTGTATGTGGGTGCTGAAGTTCAGTCTCTTGTCTATATATAGGCCAAGAAACTTCCCCTCATTTTTATTGGTAATGTTAACATTATCTATCTGAAGTTGAATCCGATTTGATGATTTCCTACCAAATAAAATCTAGGTCTTTTCTATGTTTAGTGTAAGTTTATTGGTTGGCATCCAAGAGTGGACTTTTTTATTCACTGCTGACAATATTATTTAGTGTGTTGGGGGTCAGAATAAATGACAGTAGTATCGTCTGCAAATACTATAGGTTTAAGAATGTTAGAAACATTTGGCAAATCATTGATGTATATAAGAAATAGGAGAGGTCCCAAGATGCTGCACTGTGGCACCCCTACTGTCAATGGTAGAGTGGGGGAGGTTATGCTACTGACGACTACATATTGGTGTCTGTCACCGAGATAGGAATGAATATAGTACAGAGCAAGGCCTTGGATACTATAGTGGTGAAGCTTAAGTAAGATCAGGTCAGTGAAGAGGCTAATTGGGAACTCATTTTTGTCAAGTGCAGTGTAGATTATATCAAGCAGACCAATGATGCCAGACAATGACATCATTGGTACTCTTTTGGGAACAGAAGCCAAACTGGCAAGAACGTAGTATGTTGAGTTTTACAAAGTAGGAGTAGAGCTGCATGAAAATAATTTTTTCAAATATTTTTGAAAGTATAGGTAAATTTGATATTGGTCTGTAACTAGATTAAACCGCATCTGCCAATCTTTTGACCATTTCAAAACCCTATTTGGATCGTCTTGAAAAGATAGAGAGTATTTTTCCCCGTTTATCTCCCTCCCGATTGCACCGAGATGGTGCATCTCCTGATGCACCATCTTCCATACAATGCTAACGTAAGTAGCATTGTATGGAAGTAGCTCAACGATTCTTCGCGGCGGGGATCGTGTTCCAGGCACCTGCCCGAAACGCTACGCATACTAGTGGCTGTACAAGAATGTAACAACTATTGTATATATCTCCAAAAAAAAGTACAGCATACACTTTCAACCGGACGCCGGATCACTTAGCATACAGGTTTTGTAAGAGAACTAAACTATATATATATATCAGTTACTTTTGTGAAGTATACTTATAGCGTAATGTACAGGACTCTAATGATGTTAACATATTACATACATTTCTGCGATAGGCCTGAAGAAAGCCAGCGAGTGAGCGAGAAGCTGCCGGGAACAGCGCTGAAACAGCCATGTTTACAATGATCAGCTGGAGGAACAAGGCCCAGGGAGCCTTCTTCTAAGGCCTACTCAACCCAATATTGAACAATAATAAATGTACATGAAATAATTATAATAATTGTAAATTAGTCGTGGTCAGGGGCTTTGTAAGAAATATACTGACTTGCAAACGTGTGTATTAAACGCTTATATATATAGTATATGAATTGTAGGTTTATACATAGACTGACTGAATAAAGTCACTATGACTATGTATATTTACAAGATTGTTGTCAATACCTCTAGTACTAGTCACTAGAGAATAGTTTTTAGACTCGAAAGGTCGAAGGTTGTCCTTCCTCACCATATTGGCTGTCTCTCTCATTTCATTTATTATACACCCCATACCCATCTTGTGGGCGGTAGTGGAACTCTCTTATATAACTTTCTTAGCTAAATGAATTGTGGGGTTCAGTCCCTGAGCCCATTATGTGCCTCTGTAACCCTTTCCACTACCACCCACAAGATGTGTATGAGGTGCATAATAAATGAACTAAACTAACTAAACTCTCATATATAACTAACTAAACTAAACTCTCTTATATAACTAACTAAACTAAACTCTCATATATAACTAACTAAACTAAACTCTCTTATATAATCCATACCAAAGCAATCCCTGATTTACTTTGAACTACATAAAAAATTGGCGGCTTTTTAAGAGAGTAACTTAAGTCAAGAGAAGTTCCCGCTGGCACTGAATTATTTTAAGTTATGGCTGAAACGCTTTGCGTATTAATGACCTTAATAAATATACTGTACATACTTTCTAACAATTATTAAACCAACATATATATATTATTGTTTATTATATTTTTGAAATATAAGTATATTTTCGGGAAGAATGTATGCGCAGAACACGTGACCGAGGGGGTATAAATATTAGGATACTTATTATTACTAACATCTTTATTGATGTTATCGTTCATTATTTTAACAGAAACCTGGCTAAGTAAAGACTATACCCAACTTTTCAACTTAGCTGGTTATAAAGCCATTCACAACTGTAGGCCTAACAAAAAAGGTGGTGGCACAGCTATATATTACCAAGATACCTTCATCTGCAACAGTGTCATTAGTGATAGAGATGACTACTGTGAATATACTTTTGCTCAATTTTCAATTAAATCCCTTAAATCCTCCTTGACTATTGAAGTCATCTATAGATTTCCCAATACTAACATAGCTGCATTCTCAGACAACTTATGGAATCTTATCCTAAACAACAACATCAACAAAAATCTCGCAGTTCTGGGAGGCGACTTATTCAATTATTCAATATTGACCTAGGGCAACAATATTGACCTGGGGCAACAATATTGACCTAGGGCAACAATATTGACCTGGGGCAACAATATTGACCTAGGGCAACAATATTGACCTGGGGCAACAATATTGACCTAGGGCAACAATATTGACCTGGGGCAACAATATTGACCTAGGGCAACAATATTGACCTAGGGCAACAATATTGACCTAGGGCAACAATATTGATCTGGGGCAACAATATTGACCTAGGGCAACAATATTGACCTGGGGCAACAATATTGACCTAGGGCAACAATATTGACCTGGGGCAACAATATTGACCTAGGGCAACAATATTGACCTGGGGCAACAATATTGACCTAGGGCAACAATATTGACCTAGGGCAACAATATTGACCTAGGGCAACAATATTGATCTGGGGCAACAATATTGACCTAGGGCAACAATATTGACCTAGGGCAACAATATTGACCTAGGGCAACAATATTGACCTAGGGCAACAATATTGACCTAGGGCAACAATATTGATCTGGGGCAACAATATTGACCTAGGGCAACAATATTGACCTGGGGCAACAATATTGACCTGGGGCAACAATATTGACCTGGGGCAACAAAATAGCCCTCAAGCCGACTATTTCCTTAACAGCATGAATTCCTGTATGCTAATCCCCGCAATCACCAAGCCCACCTGATTCACTCAAACATCCGCTACTACCCTGCTGGATCATTTATGGACCAACATAACAGCTCCCCTTACATCAAGTATAATCACTGACAGAACAACTGACCACTATCCTACCTTCCTAGTAGCGAACATGGCCATAACACCTCCAGCTAACAAGAAAATGACCTTTAGGTTACACAGTGAAGCAGCAATAGGCAATCTCACAAATGTCCTCCACAATATAAACTGAGAATCTGAATTTAATAATACACAGGATATAAATTCGTTAACTGGCCTCTTCCTTTCCAAAATTCTAAGCCTTTACAATACTTATTGTCCTCTCACCAGTAAGTAACTGGCAAAAGGTTAAATAATTCCTGGCTCACTAATGGCATACTCAAAGCAATCGACAAGAAACATGAATATGAAAAAAAACTTAGGATTGGCCTAGTTGCAAAGGAAGTAGTTAAGAGGTACTAGTCAGTGCTTACCAGTATAATAAGAAGAACAAAGCGTTCCTATTACGAGAATAGATTCAAAGAAGCCAAAGGTAACATGAAAAGCACATGGAGAGTCATCTCTAACATCCTAAGAGCTAAACAACATTCACATGGCCCGATAAAAATCTCCAAGGATGGTTATACACCTGCAACAGATCTTGAAACAGCAAATGAATTTAATAGATTCTTTTCATCGATTGGTGCTAACCTTGCCCGAAAAATCCCACAGACTTAGACACATGTTACCACATATCTTTCACACAGCTACTCAAACTCTCTTCTTTCTCCGGTCAGCCCGACAGATGTTGTGTCCATCATTCACTCACTAAAAACCAAAGCGGGGAACATTAGTGAAATACCATCGATGGTATACAAGAGTGCCTCCCATGCCCTTGCACCACCCATAGCTCTGCTGTTCAATAAATCCCTAGAGTGTCAAACCTTCCCTGATATCCTTAAAAAAGCAAGAGTAACGCCAGTTCATAAAGGAGGTAACACGGCAGACATAAATAATTGCAGACCCATATCAAATCTACCTATATTATAAAAAATATTTGAAAAAAATTTATTTACAAACAGCTCTACTCATATCTCGTAAAATTCAATATACTAAGTCCCTGTCTGTTTGGCTTCCGCTCCCAAAAGAGTACCAATGATGCAATTGTTAGTCTGCTTGACTTAATCTACTCAGCCCTTGACAAAAGTGAGCTTCCGATTGACTCTTCATTGACCTGAGAAAGGCTTTTGATACTGTTAACCATAATTACTTCTTACTTAAACTCCACCTTTATGGAATCCGAGGCCTTGCCCTGAACTATATCCGATCCTATCTTAGTGACAGACACCAATGTGTAGCCACCAATGATATAACCTCTTCTACTCTACCACTAACCGTAGGGGTGCCACAGAGCAGCATCCTAGGGCCTCTCCCATTTCTTATATACATCAATGATCTGCCTAATGTCTCTAACATGCTTAAAACTATATTGGTTGCTGATTATACTACCCCTATTCTACTCAAACCCCAACCCACTCATATTAAATAATGTAAATAATGAACTAAAAAAGTTCACTTATGGATGTCAACCAACAAACTCACACTAAACATAGGAAAGACCTGCTACATCTTATTTGGAAGCAAATCAACAAATGCAATTCAGCTTTAGATAGACAATGTTAACATCAAAGTTTCTTGGCCTATATTTAGACAAGAGACTCCACTTAATTTAGTTCATTTATTATGCACCCTATACCCATCTTGTGGGCGGTAGCGGAAAGGGTTACAGAGGTACATTTATTTATTTATTTATTTCATAATGGGCTCAGAGACTGAACCCCACAATTCATTTAGCTAAGCAAGTTACAATCTTGATGAGCTAGTTACAAAATTCGATATAAGTCGTCACATCATCAATGGGTTCGAGACTGACGACAATTACAGTTTCTAAAATAAGCCACTGACGTGTGTGTGGAGAGCTAGTGTCATAATTGATATGCCAAACGCCGTCAAGCAAGGTGTGCGTGACCCAGCTGTGGATTGTGGGATCCTAGCAACAAAACATAAACTCCGGCCAGGTATTGATCAAGGCTTCGTGACTGCAGCTCTGCCTTAATATACGACGTTGGTGTTAATGTGAGCGTTTATAGACCCGTAGATTATATTATCCCTGAGCCAATGTGTCGTGAAATACAGGTGGTGGCGTCACTGGCGGGCGATGGTGGGGAAGATGTGGGGACAGGGGAGGGGGTAATGGTGGGGAGGACGAGGGGACGGGGGAATTTGGGATGGTGGGAGCTATGAAACAGGGGAATGGAGAATGGTGGGGAGGACAAGAGGACAGAGAAGTAGGGGATGGTGGGGAGCACGGGGGGATGGGGGAGGGGAGAATGGTAGGGAGGACAAGGGGATGGGGGAGTGGGAGATGGTTAGCAAGACGAGGGGACGCTGGAGTGAGGGATGGTGGGGAGGACAAAGGGATGAGGGAGGGGGGAAATAGTGGGGAGGACGAGGGGACGGGGAAGGGAGGTAATGCTGGGGAGGACTGGGAGACAAGGGAAGGTTACTGTGACGCATCAACCCACATGCATTTCTGAGCCACAGCAACGCGTGGCCGGGTACAGCAACGCGTGGCCGGGTACAGCAACGCGTGACCGGGTACAGCAAGTTTCAAATAAATTCAACGAGGCATACTCCGTATAAACAAAAACCTTTCGGAAAATTAAGATATTAAGAAACATAAATAAAATAATCAGTTTGCAAAACCATCAATTATTTCTACCAGAAGTACCTAATATTAACTAGGAATATAATTTTCGTGTTCAGGGAGAATTGCTTCTCTTTACTGAAGGAAGAAGAAATACCTTTACTGAAGGTATTTACACCCGCGATATATTCTTCCGGCTCATGTGATTACTAGGCTTGACTCCTAGTATTGTGTCCAAGATGGACACAACATATACGGAACCACGGCAGTAAACAACCATTCACTCGTCTGCTGGAGAATATATTGCTCTTCCCATAGGTCAGTGTGGTGGTGGGGGTGGGGCTGAGGTGGGTGTGGGGGTGGGGCTGAGGTGGGTGTGGGGGTGGGGCT